CTTTCATGACTCCCAGGGGAAACAGAAAGCTCGTCATCCTCCCTCTCATCACATTCTACAGACTTAGCTGGAGAAGGTTGATGAGAAGAAACTCTATTCTCCAGTAGAGACATACGACTGGATAGAGTACTAAATTCAGCCTTGAAAGACTCACCAAAGTCCAAAAGCAACTTCTGAAAACCATCCAAAGATGATGCATGATCAGAACCCTGAGTACCATGAGAAGAGCTAGAAGATTGAGCTCGAGAGTCAGGTACGGTGGTAGAAGGAGCTACTGCAGGAGTCAAAGATACTGCTACGGGTGGAGCAGGAGCTAAAGGTGGTGCAGTAGCTACCCCAGAAGGGGGACCATAGAAATTGTCCCTATAAGGCCAAAAACCAGGTTGGTTTGGCATAAACCCACCATAAGGGTAAGACTGTGGCCAAGGTGGCTGAGACCATGAGGGTAAAGGTTGTGTGCCCGTGTTGGGAAGCATATACCCACAATAGGATAATGGGGGTCTAGAACCTGGCAAGTTCAAGCCCATAGCTGTACCTGGGACAGAACTAATAGTACCCGATGAATTAACAGGCCTAGATAAAGTATGAGTCACCGAAGTTGATGTAGGTACCCCCCCAAAATGCATGGCCGAACCTTGTGAAAGGGTCGGATAGGTAGCATTACCAGACACCGTTGTCGAAACTCCGGTCATTGTACTGGTAGTTTGGGGGGGGGACTTAAAGGTAGTGACCCATCTAAGAGATAGTCCGAACCAGGAATATTTACATACGGACTATTCAAATTAAAGTCCATAATAAAATTTACTTTAGTCAAAAAAACACAAATAATTTGTTTAGAAATTCAAGCTAAACAAGGGAATAAATTTCCAATAATATACACAATATGAAAAGCAATTAAGCTATTCAAAAACTTTACAAACAACTAAACACTTCTCTGTTGAATCTGTATATATTTGCACGTGTGACCGATGTCGCAGATGGAAATTGAATGGGAGAATATGGGCAAACAGGGGTATATGTCCGGACCAGTGAGAGTACGTTTATTTTTAGTCGGGATTTTCCATCTGACCTATGACGCAATTGGGGTTACACTCAGAATTTATGATGGTAACGTATTTATAGCTATAAAATTGGAAATTTGCCAATAACTTTATTGTTAATAAATGCATTGGAAATTTGCCAACAATTTTAGTGTAATAAACTTCATTGGAAATTTGCCAATATAAAATTTTGCTGATGAAGGTTTTTTTTTTACCTTTAGCCTTGACTATGAAGTCATTTTCTATTTTTATAGCCTTATGATGTAGTTGAATTATTTAATACTTTTATGATGTGTTTAAATGGGGTTTTATCATGTTTATGGTTGCAAATTTATTGTTTTAGTATAATAAACTCCATTTAAAATTTGCCAATAAAAAAAATTTTTGTTTATTTTTAGCTATGATTATGATGTCATTTTCTATTTTACTTTTATGGTTGCAAAGAAATTTTTATTTTTAGATATTACTGTTAAATGATGCTGATTAAGGTTTTTGCTATGTTTAGCCATGACTATGATGTCATTTTCTATTTTAATATCTGTTATGATGTATTTAAATGGGCTATTATGGTAATAAAGGAATTTTATTTTTAGATATTACTATAAAATGTTGCTGATGCTGATTAAGGATTTTGTTTATTTTTAGCCATGACTATGATGTCATTTTCTATTTTAATACCTTTATGATGTAATTTCCATTTTTAGATATTACTGTTAAATGATGCTGATTAAGGGTTTTTTGCTATGTTTAGCCATGACTATGATGTCATTTTCTATTTTAATATCTGTTATGATGTATTTAAATGGGCTTTTATGGTTACAAAGGAATTTTATTTTTAGATATTACTTTAAATGTTGCTGATTAAGGATTTTTGTTTATTTTTAGCCATGACTATGATGTCACTTTCTATTTTAATACCTTTATGATGTATTTAAATGGGCTCCCATGTATTTAGATTTTTGATTATTTATACATGTTACCAAATTGGTCCACATTGAACAAAAACGGTCCAAATTTCAACTTTATTACATTACATCAAACATTGAATTCTACATATTCTTTGATATATTGAAATTAACAAACAATTTAGTTTATGGATATTCCACCATAATAGGTAAATTAAATTTTTTCCAGTTCTTACACCACATTCATCCTGTGTCAGAAACCTATGCTGTGTCAAATATTTAATGACAATCCAAAGTCATAGCTGTATCAAGCTTGAATTTTGTGTCCATACTTGCCCCAACTGTTCAGGGTTCGACCTCTGCGGTCGTATCAAGCTGCGCCCCAGCGAAGCATTTTATTTGTTATTATTTTGAATATTATTATAGATATATATAAACTAAGCAGCAATAATGTTCAGCAAAGTAAGATCTACAAATAGTTAATATGACCAAAATTGTCAATTGACCCCTTAAGGAGTTATTGCCCTTTATAGACAATTTTACACAATTTGTTCATCAAGTATGCTAACATTTAAAAATCTTCTCTGAAATACAGGTGAGTGATTCAGGCTCTTGAGAGCCTCTTGTTTTTCACCAAACCTTGTACAAATCTCTCACAAAAAGATTTATTAGATTTTTATCTCGTAGTCCATGCAAATAACAACATCCAGAATTTTTATATATAAAATTTGTTAGGGATTAAAATCAATATCACTCAAAGATGAAATGCCTTGATTCAGGTGATTTTCTTATACATGTAGTTACAACTTACCTGAGATTAATCCCAACAAATCTGGTTTTTTACAACTTATGACTTCGGAATAAAAACCTGTAACTGTTGGATTTAATCATAATAGCACCTGCTAGGAAAACAGGTTAAACATATATGGTTTATGTGTATACTTCTTAGAGAGAAATCTTTTAACCACTGTGTAAAAGTATTTAGGGGACAACCATTTGATTCTGAGGAGGGGGCTTGCAGATTTTGGAAATAAATATTCTGGCTCCCATTAAGGTGAAAATAGATAATCTTGCCTTATCACACATGAAAATAAATATTCTGGCCCCAAATATTCAAATTGTTCAAAAAGATTTTGGCTAGCTTCACTCGCCACATTTACAAAGGTGTCTTGAAGTTACAGATAACCCAGAAAAAGTTGGTCAGAACGCATGAAATAAATAAAGTGCAGAGGGGGCATTAAGTTTTACCCCTGTCCGTCTGTACATACGTCCCAAAAATGGTTTCTGTTCTCTAACTTTAGTTTGCCTCAACCAAATGTTATGAAATTTATACACAATGCTTATTACCACAATACACAGATCAAGTTTGCATTTTGATGGCATCACTTTTACTGTTCTAGAGTTATGCCCCTTTACAAATGGAGAAATTGCTGAATTTTTCGTTTCCGTTCTTTAACTTAAGTTTGCATCAACCAAATGTTATGAAACTTATAAACAATGCTAATTATCACAAAACTCAGATCAAGTACAAATTAGGGTAGTGTCATTTTTACAGTTCTTGAGTTTTGTCCCTTTATAACGTGCAAGCGGGGGCATCATCTGTGTCCCATGGACACATTCCCCATTTATTTTACAGAAGTCAGTGGTTATCTTTGGTAGGCGAATTAAATGTACATCCCTTCTCCTTTTAACCTGAAAAAATATACTTTTGTTCATGACATTTACTAAAAAATTTTGACTCGCTATGCTTGCCAGAAATTTTAGATAATAACACCTCTCTTTCCTTTGACCCTGGCTCTTACCCCTGATTGACATGTATTTTCATATTAATAGAATATATATTCTGGACTTCATTTTGAATGCTCTATTTGCTTTAAGTTGTATGTGTATCCTACAAAAAGATAATGTGTATCAAAACAAAAATTAAATTACTTGGGGATGGATTGGGGGTGACGATGAGGGGCAGTTTTTGTGTCAATTTGTGGAAGATCAGAAAATGAATAATCTGGCCACTTTTTGTTGGAAATAAATATTCTGGTCTCATTAAATTTGCCAGGCCCCCATCAGAATCAAATGGTTGCCCCCTTATAGGTTAAGAAACTACCTGCATACTGTCAACAGAAATGATTGCCATTGAAAAAACACTACATGCATCCAATGCATACTTAAAACATTTAACAGTAGCAACAAATCAAATTTCTGAGTTGTAAGCATATAATGAACATTATATATCTTAGATATATCACCAAATGAGTCAAATTATATCCAAATGAGATAAATTTATAACATTTTAATTTGTTAAAAGGAAAGTTGCTTCAAGTCCCATGATTTCTTTCATTTGTGGAACATCAAAAATGAATTGCAGTTTGTAATTTTTTAAGGGGAATGTTTACATGAATGTAAGTAGAAAAAGTAATACTCTTTGTTTCATTCAAATAAGAACATATATATAGTTCAAGCGTCAACTTGACTTTCAAGTAATGAGTTCATCCCCTTTATACAGACATCATAAAGATAAGTTGTGTTATAGCCAGTGAGAAACAACCCATCAATAAAATTCAAGATTAAAGAGTGAATAGCTACATATACCTTAAGGGAATTGTACAGTCTCCAATTTTAGGCAAAAGGTAAGCGATTAAACCTGATACAGTGTATATGCAGCTGTGTGTGAATCATGACCACACAGTATACAATTCTTAAGCAAAGGCCTGACAAAAAAACCAATATTTCACAAATAATCATCACAAATCCTATATTTCAAGAGAAAACTTATACAATATATGATTACCAGAGCACTAATAACAACATCACTATTATACATATTGCACCAATGATGGTGCTCCTGCATAGGAGGGGTTACTCGAGTGAAACTAGATTTCTTACGGATTTTATTAAACATAAATATAGTTAAGGAATGTGTAACGACAGAGTACATTTTTTTTTTGATCTGTAGATGTACTCTTGCATCTTTTTAGCGTGATCTAGCATTGAAGTTGATACGGACATCGATCGGTTTTACGGAGCACCGGAGTGAACCTTGTGAGAAGCAAAGCAAGACTATTATTTACTGCGGATGATGGATTGGATGAAAACAGTTTCCTGAAAATTTGACAGAAGCCGGCTTTTCCTACATATATTTTATTGTACAAAACAAAAAGAGAAAACATTAAAATGGCAACACGTAGTTTAACAGAGGTTTTCATTTTGATGAGAAACAATGCTTTACAAAGTCGTCATATGTTTTCAGAACACGTAAGAAATCAATAGATTCAAGAAAATAAACTCCTGATAATTTGATCTTCGTATATATTCACATAAAAGTTTCATTATATATTTATTCAAATTCAAAAGATAAGCGATGCAATATATTTGAAATATGCAATTTAAATATGCAATATATATCATTTGACATATGATATTGATGTTGCAGTTGGGGGAAAGATATAATAATGATAAAGTTGTAGATAGTAGAGGTAAAGACTTATTAGAACTTTGTATTGGAAACAAATTAAGAATAGTTAATGGGAGAGTATTTGGTGATAGTACAGGTAAAGTTACATGCCATAATTATGCAGGTTCTAGCGTAGTGGATTATTACATTTTCTCTAATTCTTCGTCAATTTATCCCTTTCTGCACCCATTGTATAAAAAAAATTTAATCAACGTGTGGTTCGTTTGATCTCAGTTCTTCATTGGTTAAAATCCGATTATGACGTCGAATTTTCTTGCTTTCCTCTGAAACTCCTATTGTGACGGCATGAAAAAAGGCGACCATGCCTGATGACGTCACATAGAAAGAACACATCTTTTTGCAGATCATTCGAAAAGAAGGAATACATTTGCCTGCGTATTGTTTGAAAATCATTAGAGAAACAGATTCCACCACCAAATCTCGTGTAATACGATATTTATCCACTCTCGACAGTTAAATTTTAAATATTTAAAACGCTCGGCGAGCCTCGCGTTTTAAATTTGAAAATTTAACTGTCTCGAGTGGATAAATATCGTATCACACTCGATGCAGTGGTAGAATCTATATGTATCAGAAATGTTATTAGAAGATATATTATATATGCAGGTATCAGAATTTACACCATTGTCAGATTGCCACTGTAAAATTTCTATGAAAATTTTATCATCATTTCAGAGGGAGTATAACAAAGAAAATATGACACACTTCCCAGAACGATACAAGTGGAATAATTTAATAGTAGAGAATTTTCAAAAAGCTTTCTTACATCCAGCCATTCAAAATGATATAAAATCATTTTTAGATAAATCTTTAGATGTAAGTGAGACTGGAATAAATGCTACTTTCTATATACATCAAATTTTTGATAAGGTAGTAAGATTTTCACTGAAAAAGAAAAAGTATCAGAAGAAAGTTTCAGATAAGAAGTGGTTTGATTTCGATTTAAAGAAAAAAAGAAAAATTGTTTTTGAAAAGGCTGTACTTTTGGCAAAATTTCCTCGTGACCCAACAATTAGAGGGTCCTACTATAAATTAAATAAAGAGTATGCTAAATTGAGGAAATTTAAGAAAAAAGAATTTAAACAAAACATTTTAGATAAACTAGATCAATTGATCAGTAATAATCCAAAAGAGTATTGGAATTTAGTCGCATCATTGCGAGAACATAATAATGATCAAGAGAACCTTCAGCATTTCATAGAAAGGAACACCTGGCATGAATATTTTTCAAATTTATCTAAAATCCCAGAACACTATAAAGCAAGAATACAGGAAATTGAAAGTAAAATTAAACAAATAGTTAATAATTTAGAATATACCAGTTTTACCAATCTAGATTTTAAAATATCACAGTCAGAATTGCAGAAAGCAATAGCTAGTTTAAAATCAGGTAAAAGTCCTGGGTTAGATAACATAAATAATGAGATGCTTAAAGCTGCACAGTTATATATAAACCCGTGTTTGTTAAAGCTATTTAATTCGGTTTTTATACGACCGCAAAAATTGAAAATTTTTTGGTCGTATATTGGTATGATGTTGGCATCGTCGTCGTCGTCGTCGTCGTCGTCTGGCGTCGTCCGGCGTCGTCCGAAGACACATTGGTTTTCGCACTCTAACTTTAGTTTAAGTGAATGGATCTCCATGAAATTTTACCATAAGGTTCAATACCACGAAAGGAAGGTGGGGATTGATTTTGGGGGTTATGGTACCAACAGTTAAGGAATTAGGGGCCAAAAAGGGGCCAAAAATAAGCATTTTTGTAACTTCCAGACAATAACTTGTGTGTAAGTGTATGGATCTCTCTGACATTGTACCACAAGGTTCCATATCACAAAGGGAAGGCTGTAATTGATTTTGGGGGTAATTGCCTCAAAATTTTAGGAATTAGGGGCCAAAAAAGGGGCAAAAAACAAGCATTTTTCTAGTTTCATGACAATAACTTGTGTGTAAGTGTTTGGATATTTCTGAAATTGTACTACAAGGTTCCATATCACAAAGGGAAAGCTGGGATTGATTTTGGGGGTAATTGCCTCAAATTTTAGGAATTAGGGGCCAAAAAAGGGGCAAAAAACAAGCATTTTTCTAGTTTCCAGACACTAACTTGTGTTCAAGTGTATGGATCTCTCTGAAATTGTACTGCAAGGTACCATACCACAAAGGGAAGGCTGGGATTGAGTTTGGGGGTGATGAATCATAAGGGGGTTCAAAAAATTTGGGGGGGGGGATTTTTTTTTTTCTTTTTTTTTCTTTTTTTCCTTTTTTTTTTCTTTTAAAATTTTCCATTTTAAGTTGGTTATTTCTGATTAATATTTAAAAGCAAATAATAATGATATGGTAGGAGATACACACCAAACAGGATGTGTAAATTATTATATAATAAGTATTGTGCAATAGCAAGAAATTTTCAATTGCACAGTATTGCACAATTGCAAGAAATCTTCAATTGCACAGTATTGCGCAATAGCAAGAAATCTTCAATTGCACAGTATTGCGCAATAGCAAGAAATATCCAATAGCACAATATTGCGCAATAGCAAGAAATTGTCAATTGTACAGTATTGCACAATAGCAAGAAATATTCAAATGCACAGTATTGTGCAAAAGAAGATACTTCGTATAAATTGCTTATTTCTTGATCAATTTCAATGGGGTTTTATTCTTGAATTCTTGGGGTTCTTTAATATGCTGAATCTAACCGTGTATTAAGTTTTTGGATTTTGGGCCCCGTTTTTAAATTGGTCCACATTGAGGTCCAAAGGGTCCAAAATTTAACTTTGTTTGATTTCATCAAAAATTGAATTATTGGGGTTCTTTGAAATGCCGAATCTAACCGTGTATTTAGATTCTTAATTTTTGGTTCCGTTTTCAAATTGGTCTACATTAAGGTCAAAAGGGTCCAAAATTAAACTTTGTTTGATTTTAACAAAAATTGAATTTTTAGGGTACTTTGATATGCTGAATCTAAACATGTATTTCGATTTTTGATTATGGGCCCAGTTTTCAAGTTGGTCCAAATCGGGGTCCAAAATTAAACTTTGTTTGATTTCAACAAAAATTGAATATATGGGGTTCTTTGATATGCTGAATCTAACCATGTATTTAGATTTTTGATTTTTGGGCCCCGTTATCAACTTTGTCCACATTGAGGTCAAAAGGGTCCAAAATTAAACTTTGTTTGATTTCATCAAAAATTGAATTCTTGGGGTTCTTTGATATGCTGAATCTAACCATGTATTTAGATTTTTTATTTGTGGACCCGCTATCAAATTGGTTCATATTGAGGTCAAAAGGGTCCAAAATTAAACTTTGTTTGATTTCATCAAAAATTGAATTATTGGGGTTCTTTGATATGCCAAATCTAACCGTGTATTTAGATTTTTAATTTTGGGTCCCGTTTTTAAATTGGTCTACATTAAGGTCCAAAGGGTCCAAAATTAAACTTAGTTTGATTTTAACAAAAATTGAATTCTTGGGGTTCTTTGATATGCTGAATCTAAACATGTGTTTAGATTTTTGATTATGGGCCCAGTTTTCAAGTTGGTCCAAGTTGGGGTCCAAAATTAAACTTTGTTTGATTTCAACAAAAATTGAATATATGGGGTTCTTTGATATGCTGAATCTAACCATGTATTTTGATTTTGGACATTGGACCATAATAGGTAAATTAAAAAAATTGAAGTTCTTAGACCACATTCTTTCTGTGTCAGAAACCTATGCTGTGTCAAATATTTAATCACAATCCAAATTCAGAGCTGTATCAAGCTTGAATGTTGTGTCCATACTTGCCCCAACTGTTCAGGGTTCGACCTCTGCGGTCGTATCAAGCTGCGCCCAGGGAAGCATTTTATTACAGCTGGGATATACCCAGAAAAGTGGCTAGAAGGTTATACTACACCTATTTTTAAATCTGAGAACCCTCGACTACCACAAAATTATAGAGGGGTAACAATATGTAATGGTATTGGTAAACTTTTTAATATTATATTAAATAATAGACTAGATGTATTCCTATGTGATAATAATGTTATACATGAAAATCAGATTGGTTTTTCAAAAAAGTCAAGGACATCAGATCATATATTTGTAATGAAATGTTTAATAGATAAATATATAAACACAGGAAACAAACGATTATATGCATGTTTTGTGGATTTTCACAAAGCATTTGACACTGTGATTCATGAAGGAATAAAGTTGAAATTATTGCAATGTAATATAAATGGTTTGTTTTATAATATATTATGTAGTATGTATAGACATAGTAAAATAGTAGTAAAAATTGGGAATAAGATGACAGAGTCTTTTGAACCTGAAATTGGTGTAAAACAAGGGATGTACTAAGCCCTAATATTTTTAAGATATTTTTGAATGATTTTTCTCATATATTGGAAAAAGATCAGGACAATTCAGTCTCTCTGTCTGGAAAAAGAATTACATGTCTACTATATGCTGATGATCTTGTGATCTTATCAGATAATCCAGAAAATTTACAGAATAAATTAAACATGCTAGATCAATATTGTAAAGATTGGTGTTTAAAAATTAACAGTCACAAGACTAAGATTATTATCTTTAATAAAGGTGGGCGTCTTCTCAAAGGAAATTTTAAGATTGGGTATGATAATATAGAATGTGTCAACAGATGTAAATATTTGGGACTTATGATGTGTTCATCTGGTTCATTTAAAGAAACAAAAACTATTTTATATAACAAGGCATTAAAGGCATCTTTTAAATTATATAAAGATGTAAAATCATTAAATCCTCCAGTTAAATCATTATTACACATGTTTGATCATATGATAAAACCCATTGCAATATATAATTCTGAAATTTGGGGTACCCTTTCAGAAGGAAAGCAGAGAAAGAACAAGGATCTATATGAGTTATGTCAAGATTGGGAAGTCGAAAAATTAAATATTAAGTTCTGTAAGTTCCTTCTTGGAGTAAATAAGAAAAGTACAAACATTGCAGTATTATCTGAGTTGGGTAGAATTCCTATATTTTATTCCATTTTTATAGCTATGTTTTCATATTGGCACAGACTAGAGAATGCAAATGAAACTTCACTACTTCATTGTGCATATCAAGAGAGTAAGACACTCAGTAATGATAATATTAACAGTTGGTACAAGTCTATTGTGTTTCTTAGTGAAAAAATAGGTATTAAATTATCAGGTTGTAAGACATTAAGCCTATCTGTTTTAAAGAGTAATATAAAGAAATATTTAAAGAATTAAAAACCAATTGTTCAGAGAACAATTGAAGGTCTTTCCACATCAATGTTCTAAATTATTGATGAGAAGCTACATCCAGTTTACTCAAAATTACTATTGGCGTCCAAGCTTTGGTTTCTTCATACTGATTCAATTTATATATGGTTTCTATATACTTTTGCCTGAAATAAGGGAGATAATTGCCAACTTCCGGTTTAGAAAATGTCACTTCCGGTCTCATATGATAGCTTTATTTATACTGATTCCAAAAATATATGGTTTATATATACTTTTGCATGTAAAAAGGGAGATAATTAGCTACCTCCGGTTTCGAAAATGTCACTTCCGGTCTCATATGATAGCTTTATTCACACTGATTCCAAAAATATATAGTTTGTATATACTTATGCCTGTAATAAGGAAGATAATATGCTACTTCCAGTTTATAAAATGTTACTTCCGGTCTCAAAAGATAGGTTAACCTATGGTCATTCAAAAAATATATGGTTTCTAGGTACTTTTCCATGAAATAAGTGCAAAAAATACTACTTCCGGTTCACTCAAGGTCACTTCCGGTTGACATTTTTCAAGGTCATAGGTCAACCAACAGTTTGCAAAAGACCCTATGGCTTTATCATGTAACAAGTTGGAGTAATAATCAATTAACCTTAAATTGAATCATTTCAGGGACAATAACTCCTATAAGATGTCATTGGATTGTTTCAGACCAAATGTATCATATCTTAATCACAATTAGGCAAACATTTTGCACTTGTTCTTTAATTTGTATCTTTAAAAGTGACAGAGGAGATCAAATAACAAGGAAAAGTCAAAATTTAGAATATGACCTTGACCTTTGACCTTGGCCTCAATTTCATTTAAATGAACCAAGGAACTCAAATCAATATACCTTAGGTCTCTATCACTTACCATTCATGCTATACATTTATATATCCCTTATGTCAAATACAGAAGGGGAAATAACTCTCATATGGAGTTTACGTACCGCCTCGGTCAAAATTGGACAAAACATCCTGAGGATATAACGAGCAATTTGGTAAAATAAATTTGTCGCTTTCTTTTACGGTTACGGAGGAGATGCAGTAACAAGGAAAACAGTGTTTGGGGAGATAACTCCTACAAAGAAAATTGTTCGGCTTAGAATGGGTGAAAATAAAAAGCGCATTAACTGTATGATATTATATAAGAAATATCTAAGCGACATCTTGCGAAACAAAAATTTTACGTGAGAACAAAATTAGGCGGAAGAAAAAAATAATAATAATAATAATAATAATCAGAACAAATACAATAGGTCTTTCCACAGAAAAGTGGAAAGACTGAATAATTTTTTAAAGTACTGGTACAAAAGAATGGATGACGGAAAGTTAACTGGAAAATTAACCACATATTTTGATTTGAAAGATAATTTTTTTACTGAAGAGTATATGAATTTAAAATCTTTCGAATACAGAAAAGTATTATGTAGATTTAGAATTAGTGCCCATAATTTGAGAATCGAAAGTGGAAGATATGAGTTAATAAAAGATGAAAAAGGGAAAAGGGTAATATTAGAAAGGAATAAAAGAACTTGTCAATTATGTAATTACAACTGTGTTGAAGATGAACCACATTTTTTGATTGAATGCCCTCAATATAACATTGATAGACAAGTATTTTTCAAAGATATTATTATGTCTAATAAGAATTTTTTTGGGCTTAATACTAAAGAAAATTTTTTGTGGTTAATGACAAACGAAGATAGACACATTTTAACCAATTTAGGTAATTTTCTAGTAAAGAGCTTTGATAAAAGAGCAAAACTATTGTCTTGTCTTAATAATAAACATAAGTAATTGATTTATGCACTGATTTGTATGCATTGCAAATTATATATACATATATAGTACATTACAATATTTTGATTTTTTGTGTGTATTTTCCCCAGCTGCAACATATGGAAAAAAGGGTTTACCATTATAAAGATTATATATATATCATTATTATATATTCTAACAATTTGTAATTTGATTTGATATTTATTCTGTCATTCATTGGATTTTCTTTCTTTGTTTGTTATAATCTTTATGCCTCTCGGGGCCCAAAATTGGATAATAAAATTTATCTTATCTTATCTTATCTTATCTTATAGTAAAAAGAGAGATATTAAGTCAAGGGATGCATGTCTATTCTTAACCCTCTTCACAGCTCTTTGCTGTCGCTATTTTAATGTGGTTATGTTTCATATAGCTGGACGTCTGTGACTTCACATGTCGAATTTTGACGTTGTCTATAAATGATGCCATGCCCTGATGGTGTTGCATTTGAGACCCATTTAAAAAAAATATTACACTATAAAATCTGAATTCTATGTTTTATTTGTAAGGGATGCAGTAATTAGCAAGTGTTTGTATAAATTAGATATATGGATATAGCTGTTGTGAACACATGCATGCATGAGTCCCTCCAGCAGCAAGACGGTTAAGCAACTCGTGCAACAGAACATGTCATAAGTTGTGACTGAATGTGGAAATATGAAGATAGATAGAATCCAAGTCCATATCACCACAATCACGTTCTCCCCTGTTCCTGTTTGCCTTGGGTCTGTTAGCCCATATTTATGATTGGATTGTTTGTCATTAACATTGTGAAAGCAGGACAAGTGGAGCCAACTCTGAGGTGAATCAAAGATGAAGATTAAAGTAAACACATTACACTATTTGATTTGCAATGGTTGTACATCAATCATTGTATTTTGCCAGTATCAATCATAGATAATAAACATCATACAAGTACCATGCAAAAATCCAAATATCATTTATTTGTAACCCCGGGGGGATTACTTCCTATATATTTAGTGGTAGGAGTGTGCCGCAAAACAGGGTCACTTTTTCATGCCCTTCTGGTAAGAACAGGGTCCCTTTTTCATGTCCTGCTGGTTAAAACAGGGTCACGCTTTTTCTTGCCCTGCTGGTGAGAACAGGGTCTTTTTTTAAACAAAAGTATTTGTCTAGAAGAGGATCGCTTATTTAACTGTTTAAGATACCGTCTAGAACTCCGGTCTAGAACAGCATCTATTTTATACAGTCTAGAACAGGATCATTCCTGGTGCATATTTCTGAGCGTGTCTAGAACAGGGTATGTTTTCAATATTTCTGTTTAGAACAGGGTATGATTTGGCAAGTGCTGTTGGCACAGTTATACCCGAAAGGATAGTCAGTAACCCCCCCCCCCGGGATTTGTTATCCAGACATAATCATGATCATCCCAAAGAAAACAGCCACAAATGCAGTGAAGCACAGTGTGTTTTCATGGTTTTAATTGCAATTTAGTCACCTAAAATTTATCATTAAATAATGAAAACTGTTCAATTTTTTTTGTTGATTAAAACTTTTTGGCCTTCTTTAATTTAGGGGTCCCTGTACTTTAAGGTTATGGTTCATTAATGGTTATTGATAGGTTAGGGGTTGTTCTAGCTTAGGGATAGGGTGCATGTTAGGGTAAGGTATGAGGTGCATGTTAGGGTAAGGTATGGGTTAGGGTAAGGTTTAGGATAAAGGTTAGTTGAGTATACCTCTATATGGATTGAGACCCCTAATGTAAAAGAAGGCCAACTTTTGATCTTGATGGCAATATCAAATGGGCTAAGAACAACCTTGCAGACATGCAACTTATTAATGAGTTTTTAACTGTCAGTATTTACAATGATTTATGTGCATGTTCTGACATTATGAATATAATTTTTTTAGGTTAATGATGACCGGATGGCACTTGTTTCAAATGCAGCTTCTGATATGGAAATGGGCAGTATTAATACAAAATCATCAAGACTGCCTCCAGAATGGTTAGTAGGACAATATATAAGTGATTATTTCTTGTGGCACACAGAAGAAATTAGGGTTTGTAGTTTATTTTTAGAACTGTTTTTATTATACAACCGCAAAAAATTTATGCGATCGTATATTGGTATGACATTGGCGTCGTCGTCGTCGTTGTCCGAAGACACATTGGTTTTCGCACTCTAACTTTAGTTTAAGTGAATGGATCTCTTTGAAATTTTACCATAAGGTTCAATACCACAAAAGGAAGGTGGGGATTGATTTTGGGGGTTATGGTACCAACAGTTAGGGGCCAAAAATGAGCATTTTTTAGTTTCCAGACAAAAACTGTGGAACGGTGTATGGATCTCTCTGAAATTATACTACAAGTTTCCATACTACAAAGGGATGGTTAGGATTTGCTTTGGGGGGTTATGGCTCAAACCGTTTAGGAATTAGGGGCAAAAAAGGGGGAAAAACAAGGTTGTCCTGGTTAATGGACAAATACTTTAGTACAAAACATAATTTAAAGCAGTGTAAGGGAGATAAATCAAATACATCATTGAAATTACCTCCCTTACACTGCTTTTAAATTATGTATAAAGTAATGGTTAATGAACAATTAAGATAATTTAAAACAGTGTAAGGGAGGTAATCCAAATACAACATTTTGATTACTTCCCTTACACTGCTTTTAAATTACGTTTAAAGAAATGCATATTTATAAAGGAAGACCAGTAAAAATATCTGCAAATGTTGCATCTTTTTTTTTACAAAAAAATCCATATGAAAGATTTGACACTATATTTTAAATTCTATTATAAAATAGATTAAGTTAGCATTATGGTAAATTTAAATGGGTAATTATGGTTGCAAACTCCATTGGAAATTTGAATTGAGATTATGACCATATCTTGAGGGAAAGAATTTTTTTGGGGAAAAAAAGGGGGGGTGGGGTAAAAAGAAATTGTGGGGGGTCAATTTTTTCTCATTTCAGATTTCAGAAATTAAAAAGAATTATTCTTCAAATATTTTTTTTTTTTTCAAATTTCAAATATTGAAAAATTTCAAGAAGTAATCTTTAATTGCACAGTATGGCGCATTAGATTTGTAAAATCTTTGACCACATTGGTCCAAATTGGGGTCCAAAATTAAACTTTTTTTGATTTCAACAAAAATTGAATATATGGGGTTCTTTGATATGCTGAATCTAACCATGTATTTAGATTTTTTATTTGAGGACCCCGCTATCATATTAGTTCATATTGAGGTCAAAAGGGTCCAAAATTAAACTTCGTTTGATTTCATAAAAAATTGAATTATTGGGGTTCTTTGATAGGCCAAATCTAACCGTGTATTTAGATTTTTAATTTTTGGTCCTATTTTTATACGACCGCAAAAATTGAAAATTTTTTGGTCGTATATTGGTATGACGTTGGCGTCGTCGTCGTCGTCGTCGTCGTCGTCGTCGTCGTCCGGCGTCGTCCGAAGACACATTAGTTTTCGCACTCTAACTTTAGTTTAAGTTAATGGATCTCCATGAAATTTTACCATAAGGTTCAATACCATGAAAGGAAGGTTGGGATTGATTTTGGGGGTTATGGTACCAACAGTTAAGGAATTAGGGGCCAAAAAGGGGCCAAAAATAAGCATTTTTGTAACTTCCAGACAATAACTTGTGTGTAAGTGTATGGATCTCTCTGACATTGTACCACAAGGTTCCATATCACATAGGGAAGGCTGTAATTGATTTTGGGGGTAATTGCCTCAAAATTTTAAGATAAGGGGCCAAAAAAGGGGCAAAAAACAAGCATTTTTCTAGTTTCATGACAATAACTTGTGTGTAAGTGTTTGGATATTTCTTAAATTGTACTACAAGGTTCCATATCACAAAGGGAAAGCTGGAATTGAGTTTGGGGGTAATTGCCCGAAACGTTTAGGAATTGGGGGCCAAAAAGGGGCCAAAAATAAGCATTTTTCTAGTTTCCAGACAATAACTTGTGTTCAATTGTATGGATCTCTCTGAAATTGTACTGCAAGATACCATACCACAAAGGGAAGGCTGGGATTGAGTTTGGGGGTGATGAATCATAAGGGGGTTCAAAAAATTTGGGGGGGGGGGGGGGGGGTTTCTTTTTTTTTTCTTTTTTTCCTTTTTTTTTTCTTTTAAAATTTTCCATTTTAAGTTGGTTATTTCTGATTTATATTTAAAAGCAAATAATAATGATATGGTAGGAAATACACACCAAACAGGATGTGTAAATTATTATACAATAAGTATTGTGCAATAGCAAGAAATTTTCAATTGCACAGTATTGCACAATAGCAAGAAATCTTCAATTGCACAGTATTGCGCAATAGCAAGAAATCTTCAATTGCACAGTATTGCGCAATAGCAAGAAATATCCAATAGCACAGTATTGCGCAATACATGATAGCAAGAAATTGTCAATTGTACAGTATTGCGCAATAGCAAGAAATATTCAATTGCACAGTATTGTGCAAAAGAATATACTTTGTATAAATTGCTTATTTCTTGATCAATTTCAATGGGGTTTTATTCTTGAAATCTTGGGGTTCTTTAATATGCTGAATCTAACCATGTATTAAGTTTTTGGATTTTGGGCCCTGTTTTTAAATTGGTCCACATTGAGGTTCAAAGGGTCCAAAATTTAACTTTGTTTGATTTCATCAAAAATTGAATTATTGGGGTTCTGTGATATGCCGAATCTAACCGTGTATTTAGATTCTTAATTTTTGGTTCCGTTTTCAAATTGGTCTACATAAAGGTCCAAAGGGTCCAAAATTAAACTTAGTTTGATTTCAACAAAAATTGAATATATGGGGTTCTTTGATATGCTGAATCTAACCATGTATTTAGATTTTTGATTATGGGCCCAGTTTTCAAGTTGGTCCAAATCGGGGTCCAAAATTAAACTTTATTTGATTTCAACAAAAATTGAATATATGGGGTTCTTTGATATGCTGAATCTAACCATGTATTTAGATTTTTGATTATGGGCCCAGTTTTCAAGTTGGTCCAAATCGGGGTCCAAAATTTAACTTTGTTTGATTTCAACAAAAATTGAATATATGGGGTTCTTTCATATGCTGAATATAACCGTGTATTAAGTTTTTGGATTTTGGGCCCCGTTTTTAAATTGGTCCACATTGAGGTCCAAAGGGTCCAAAATTTAACTTTGTTTGATTTCATCAAAAATTGAATTATTGGGGTTCTTTGATATGCCGAATCTAACCGTGTATTTAGATTCTTAATTTTTGGTTCCATTTTCAAATTGGTCTACATAAAGGTCCAAAGGGTCCAAAATTAAACTTAGTTTGATTTTAACAAAAATTGAATTTTTAGGGTTCTTTGATATGCTGAATCTAAACATGTGTTTAGATTTTTGATTATGGGCCCAGTTTTCAAGTTGGTCCAAATCGGGGTCCAAAATTAAACTTTATTTGATTTCAACAAAAATTGAATATATGGGGTTCTTTGATATGCTGAATCTAACCATGTATTTAGATTTTTGATTTTTGGGCCCCGTTATCAACTTTGTCCACATTGAGATCAAAAGGGTCCAAAATTAAACTTTGTTTGATTTCATCAAAAATTGAATTCTTGGGGTTCTTTGATATGCTGAATCTAACCATGTATTTAGATTTTGGATATTGGACCATAATAGGTGAATGTCCAATTTAAAATTTTTAAGTTCTTAGACCACATTCATTCTGTGTCAGAAACCTATGCTGTGTCAAATATTTAATCACAATCCAAATTCAGATCTGTATCAAGCTTGAATGTTGTGTCCATACTTGCCCCAACTGTTCAGGGTTCGACCTCTGCGGTCGTATCAAGCTGCGCCCTGCGGAGCATTTTATTTAAATTGGTCTACATTAAGGTCCAAAGGGTCCAAAATTAAACTTAGTTTGATTTTAACAAAAATTGAATTCTTGGGGTTCTTTGATATGCTGAATCTAAACATGTGTTTAGATTTTTGATTATGGGCTCAGTTTTCAAGTTGGGGTCCAAAATTAAACTTTGTTTGATTTCAACAAAAATTGAATATATGGGGTTCTTTGATATGCTGAATCTAAACATGTATTTAGATTTTAGATTTTTGGCCCAGTTTTCAAGTTGGTCCAAGTTGGGGTCCAAAATTAAACTTTGTTTGATTTCAACAAAAACTGAATATATGGGGTTCTTTGATATGCTGAATCTAACCATGTATTTAGATTTTTGACATTGGGGTTCTTTGATATGCCAAATCTAACCGTGTTTTTAGATTTTTAATTTTGGGTCCTGTTTTTTAAATTGGTCTTCATTAGGTCCAAAGGGTCCAAAATTAAACTTAGTTTGATTTTAACAAAAATTGAATTCTTGGGGTTCTTTGATATATGTGTCTAGATTTTTGATGATGGGCCCAGTTTTCAAGTTGGTCCAAGTTGGGGTCCAAAATTAAACTTTTTTTGATTTCAACAAAAATTGAATATATGGGGTTCTTTGATATGCTGAATCTAAACATGTGTTTAGATTTTTGATTATGGGCCCAGTTTTCAAGTTGGTCCAAGTTGGGGTCCAAAATTAAACTTTGTTTGATTTCAACAAAAATTGAATATATGGGGTTCTTTGATATGCTGAATCTAACCATGTATTTAGATTTTTGACATTGGACCATAATAGGTAAATTAAAAAAATTTAAGTTCTTAGACCACATTCTTTCTGTGTCAGAAACCTATGCTGTGTCAAATATTTAATCACAATCCAAATTCAGAGCTGTATCAAGCTTGAATGTTGTGTCCATACTTGCCCCAACTGTTCAGGGTTCGACCTCTGCGGTCGTATCAAGCTGTGCCCAGCGAAGCATTTTATATAGACATGTAATAGTAAGGATCTTTGCTATAACAGTGCTTGTCTGAAAGGTATCAACAAAATTAGAATTAAAGGTTTGCATCAAAATTTGTCTTTGTAATTCTACTTGCTGTTTGAAGTAATAATTTACTTAAACAGGTTTTATGTGGGTAGTTTACTTTTAATTACTTTTTGTTTATAGGTAATATGTTGGTAAGCCCATTACAAGTATCAAAGTTAAAAATTAAAAAAAAACATTCCAGAGAGAAGATAAGAAAACAGTCCTGCAAAAATGTTTCTTTTGTGTGTAAAGAGGATGTATTGTAATAAACGAATAAAACTCTATACTTTGCGTTGTGTTACTTTTATGATCAAAATCGATATCGAAGGCGCCCATACAAAGGTACAAATTAACGTCATAAACATAAGACGTAAATACGGGAAACATAACGTTAACATTTGCAGTATATTCTCAACATACTGGGGGGCCGCAAAAGTATATCTTTGTATAAAATTGAAATATTTCTTTAACTGTCCATATATGAAACGAAAAAATATGTTTTAAAATATGATGGGCAATTACTGTCTCTAGAAATCACTATGATAAAATGAAAAATTAGCAGTCTCTATAACGATTTTAAAATCGGACACAAAATTAATGTCTAAGATATTGTCCAAGTTTTAATGTTCTCCTTTGCACGCATAGCTGCCTTTCGCATAGGCACTGTTTTTCTGGTATCAACTTTATTCGTCTCATCTGCTTTATTTGGTAGTTCCTCTTCGTTGATCTCTAGCGGATAAAGTTTGACGATCGGGCGAGTCGTATGGCCACTGTTAGTTCTGATAGTTGCAGATCTGATTAAACCATCATTTCGAACAACTAATTCTTCAACAATTGCTATTTTCCACCGATTTCGAGGTTTGTCGTCATGAACTTTTACAATATCTCCGACCCGGATGTTGATTTTGTTGTCTCCACTCTTTTTATGAAACTCTCTAAGTGCTGTTAAATATTCGGACTTCCAACGGTTCCAAAATTGTTCAATTATAAACGAAAGTCTTTGTGCACGCTTTGAAGCATCAGACGTGTTCATTATGTAAGGTTCATCAATATTATCTATCTCAATTCTCGGATATGGTACAGATGTAATACGACGACCATATAGTAGGTGGGCCGGTGTTAATGGTTCACTGTCATCAATGTCTGTAGATACATAAGTCAATGGTCGATCATTGTAAAACTTTTCAATTTCGGCAATTATCGTTTGCAGTGTCTCTATGTTAATCAATGCACGTCCAAGTATTTTCTTTAAATTCGTTTTAGTTAATGCAATAAGTCTCTCCTACCATCCTCCGAACCACGGGGCTCGGCTAGGGATAAATCTCCACTCGACTCCATGCGTAGATAATGTCTCTTTGATCTTCTGGGATTCACACAGTTGTTTAATCTCTTGTGATGCTGAAATAAAAGATGTAGCGTTGTCTGACATCATAACATGTGGTAAGGATTTTTTACAAGTAAATCTTCTGAATCCTAACAAAAATGATTCTTCTGTCATGTCGGGTACAACCTCTAAATGAACGGCTCTTGTCGATGCACAGGTAAATAAACATATGTATGCTTAATGAATGTTCCGTTCTTTTCCTTAATATGAAGAGCTCCAGAAAAATCTACACCAGTGACGGTAAACGGTGGGGCTTCTTGAAGTCGTATTTTTTGTAACGGAGGAGGGTCTGGTGCCCTGTATGGTTTTCCTATAACTCTTTTACATGTTGTACATCTATATAGTAATTTGGGCGTAAATTGACGCAACGTGGGATCCAAAATGTTTGACGGACTTGTGTAACTGTGGCATTAACTCCAGAATGTAAAACTAGTTCGTGTGAGTTTAATACAATAAGTTCCGATAATCGCTGATTTGGCGGTAAAAGGTAAGGGTGTTTTGCCGATTCGGGTATTGGCGCATTATGAATTCTTCCTTTGCATCTCATTAAATCGTTGTTATCTAAATATAACTGAAGTTGTCGAAGTCGTGGCAATTTAGTTTTCTGTATCTGTTTTAGCTTTAGTGCGCGAACTTCATCTTGGTATGCTATCGCTTGACAACATCGTATCCATAATATTGTTGACTGCTGTAGTTCATCTGGTGTCATTGCTCCAACGTTTCTAAAAGATTTGACTGTTCTACAATTGTGAATAAATCGATGGACAAAGGCTGACACTCGCAAAAGTTTCTTGTATGATCCATAATTGTTAATATCTATAATTCTGTCTATTCCATACTGAATATCATTTTCGCAAGTTTTGCTCTCTTTATCGTCTAATGGTTCTTTGTCGTCGTCGGTAAATACGGATAAAGCTGTATTTATCTCTATAAATGTTTTGATTTATCACCTATCCAAATCGGTCCTTTTATCCATAACGTGCTTTCCTTGAACTGTTTCGTAGTCATACCACGTGATAGTAAATCAGCAGGGTTGTAATTTGTTGGGCAATACTTCCATTCACAGTTGTCTGTTAATTTCTTAATTTCATTGATTCTATTTGAAACGAAACGTTTTAATGTTTTGGTAGTCTTTATCCACTGTAATACGATTTGACTATCTGACCATAGTGTAATATTTGAACATTTTAATGTAGTTTGAAGATGACATGCTAAACAGGCTCCTATTACTGCAGCCATTAACTCTAGTTGTGGTAAAGTTAGTTTTTTAAGAGGCGCCACTCTTGTTTTTGCCATTACCAGTGAAGTGTCCTTTTTGTTATTTAAATACCCAACTGCTCGGTAAGCTTTCATACTTGCGTCCACAAATACATGCAGTACTTTTTGCGATGACTCGCTACTCTCATCAAAATAGTGCCTAGAAAAAGTGGTTTCCGTAGCAGTTTCTATGTCTTGAGCTAAACGGGTCCATTCTGATAGCAACGCATGTGGTAAAAGCTCGTCCCAGTCATTACCTCCTTTCCATAAGTCTTGTATAAGTATCTTAGCTCTAATGCTAACTGGACTCAATAATCCAAGCGGGTCGTATATTTTAGATGATTCCTTCAAAATTTCACGTTTTGTAATACTTTTTTCATCTCCTTGTGCTGGTATGACTGTCCGTTTTGAATACGTAAGTTCATCATTTTCAACGTTCCAGCGCATTCCTAGGATCTTTGTCTGTTTGTCGGTGTCTAATACATCCTCTTTGGCAGCTTGCTGACGAAGTTGTTCACGGCACCAAAATGTATTGTAATAAACGAATAAAACTCTATACTTTGCGTTGTGTTACTTTTATGATCAAAATCTATATCGAAGGCGCCCATACAAAGGTACAAATTAACGTCATAAACATTAGACGTAAATACGGGAAACATAACGTTAACATTTGCAGTATATTCTCAACAGAGGACACTCATAAAATCATTTGCCTTAAGTCAAAATCTATTATTTTGTACATTTATATGTTATATGGGAAATTGTAATTGCATTTTTTTTTTAATCCTTGAGGAACACATTGGTGTGCTATATCTAGTGATGGGAATCAGTATTTTTTTTCAGATAAATGGCAGAATAAACCTTGCAATATACTTTTTTATCCTTCAGGTCTCATGTATAACTCTCAGATTGATAACTCTGCTTTTGTGTAGAAATATAAGCAATTTACAAATGTTTTATTTCCTTCAAGTCTGTAGCCTAAATAAATTGATGTCCAAATATATAATCTATGTAATTGAAATGATTTTGTGTGACTTCAAATGCATATTTCATATATGATGATTATTTATCAAAATTGATAATCAAACATAGATAAGATTTTTTAACAGTTCAAGAGATTATGATATTAGTAAATTAGGAACATGTTGAAATATACATTTGAAAAAACTAAACATGCTAAATATACCCCAAAAAGTTCGATAAACACGACAAACTTTAGCAACAAAAAATTAACTTTCAATGACCAAATGATTTTTTATTTGGTTTAATGTTATGTTTTAAAGCATATTTCAACATTTATATTAATTTGATCTTGTAAATATAAGTTCAACGGTAAGTAACACATGATATGTCCATCACAAAAATTGTCAGCACCCCCTCAGATATAATATAAATGTCCATATTATTGCCAAAAATAGAATTTATGTGACAAACCAGGTGAATGTTTACAATTCATTACTGTATTCATATTTTAAATACAAACAACAGAAATAACAATGAACATGATCAACCAGTAAGCTTACAAACATCATGAACATAGAATCAATATCTTTAGAGTCGTGAACCGATCATTGGATAGATGGCCCTGAAACAGCTTACAAGTCAATGTTTTCAATTATCGGTGCACCACTAGTAATATCAGCTACACTATAACAGGCAAAGAAATCAACAAATACAAATACTTTCATAATTTGCCCTGCAATACATTGTAAAATACAAAAACAATACAAACACTGAGCACGTAAATAGTTGCTGTAACTTACAATGTAACAGGAAATAATGTGTGAATAGGGCAAATGATTTGGATGACTGCATTTAACATAATAAATACATTTAACGATTTATTTTGACAGGGTAGATGGTGTAGAAGAGGTGCAATATGAAATGACAAAAATCAAAACAAAAAGTAAGTACATTTTTGTACTGTGAATTCATTATTATTTGAGGGATATCAATTTTCTTTGGAATAGGCGTTCCACGTATTTAAAAGTTAAACGAAATACAAATTTGACATACAGTATTCGGCAAAACCAAGAAATGCAATATCCACAAAAATACTATTTCTCCTAAATTCACTTAAATAGGTACCAGATAAAATAAATGAATGTTCTGTTTTCAAATTATTTAAGATTTCAATTACTGTAAATTCAGAAATTATTGCGATTTTTTTATTAATGCGAATAATGCGACTAGCTGAGTATCGCAATAAAAGGAACTCACACTCTGATATCTGATTCATATATATGTAAGCAGATTTTCCTGAAATCGCAATAATAAATATCGCATTTGTGCCCATTCTTAAAAAATTGCAATAATAAATGAACGCATTAATTTCTGAATTTACAGTAATATATGTAAATTTAATTATTGCACTTATTTGAATTGTAAAGGTTCTTCCTTTTTCATTAGTCAACACTTTTGACAATTTGGACATAATAAGAACGCAGAGAATTTATACAAATTATGTCACGCTAAGATAGAACAAAGGAGTAAGTGTGGTTAGGGGCCATATTTGGCCCTGATTATTAAGTTAAATGTTTCAAGATATAAACTGTTTTAATTTGATGAAAAAACATGTGAGAAAGTTAAACAGAACTTTTTTTAGCCAATGATTATTCTAAAGCCTACATTTCTACATACCAAATAGGCCAAAAACAGAGATTTTTGCAAAATTGACAAATTGTCCAGATTTCAACCAAATTAAAGCCTAGGAAACATAGAGCGCAAACATTGACAAACTTAATATTCAATTCAGATATGTAGAAATATTAAAACAAACATTATGTGAAAAGATCTTTTTTGTCGACACATGCACTCTGTTCAAAAAAGCAATAGAAATTTGGCCGTTTTCACTGAACTTTTCATTGAAAATCAAAATGAGTGCTATTTGTGATGCCATGAATAGAACGCAATTTCGTAAATTTTCAACAAAAAGCTTAAGATATATCTCCTATCTAGTCATTGTATTAGCTATGATATTGGGATATTGGTCAATAAATTCTAATTTGAAATTGCAGCTAGAAATAGGGGCCATTAAAGATGCCGTCATTTTATTTCTAAACAAAAGAATTATAACAATTGTTATCTTGAACTTTACCGTATATTATACTGGCTTTGTCTGGTTAAAAAAGGTTTGATCATTACATAAAACTGCATTTACATAATTTTTTAGTGAAGGAACTTGCCACACTCCATGACAGACATTTAAACAGACCAACGTTAGATGATAATGTGCAGGAGGAACATGCTATAGAAATAATGACACAAGATATTACACAGGTTGGTTTTCTTACAGATTTGGGGTATACATGAATAAATAAGCAACCCAATGACACAAAAAATAGACTTCTAGAAGTCAAAATAGATACTTCAACGATAGATCAGTGTCTACAGGATGACAAGCTCTAATTGCCCAGAGTATAGAAAAACTGTGAAATTTAACCAGAAACCAGCAAAGATTTGCCTTCCACATTAAATTCACTAAATGACAAAATATATAATATAACTAAAGACCACATATGACAATGTTCCTGACATGGGGAGGCTAATGAACATGTTATAGTATATATTCAAAACACAATGCCATGCAAAACAATAATAAAGAATACCCTAGCAAAGAATACTTGCTTGTATCATCAAAATAGCACAGTTTTTTCTAGTAACATCCAAAATTTTTCATACTGTGAATTCACTTATTTTTTTTGGGTAATAATTTTCATGGATTAAAAAAAAATTGTTTTTTTGTGAATACTTTGTTCAAGTCTGCATACAAGCAAATAGATAATTTGTACATTGTTGTTCATTGAAATTTCCACAAAACCCATGAAAATAGGTATCCAATGAATAATATGGAATGGACAGTAAACAATTTGTTTTTTTGCAGATGTTTACAAGATGTCAAATTACAGTTCAGAGAATAAGTCACAAAGGTAACCATGGAACAGAACAGGAAAAAAGACTAGCCAAAAATATAGTATCGTCTGTAGCCAGATCACTACAAGATATGTCATTAAATTTTAGAAAAACACAATCAGATTACCTAAGAAGTAAGTGGTATTGTCTTTTGTTAATGTAGAGAAGAAATACTTTGATAAAGATACTGTTCACTACTGTACTTTAAACATATTTTATTGTCAAAACAAGAGAAATAAAGGATAGGACACAAGTTTTCAACTTGCAAGGTCTTCTCCAATACACAATCATCATTATATAAGAGCTTATGACATGGTTCACTTGACACAGAATTATATGATATTTGAAAAGAAAAAAATGATACAACATACACAGCAGGCATTTGCTGTTGTCTGAAGAAAAGAGTTAAAAAGAGTAGATTTAAACTAATCACTAATAGTCGAAATTATACAATTTTGTATTGCTTTAAATAACATACAGTTGATGTCAAAGTGCACATCAGAACATCTAAACTTAATATTGTTAATGTTAAATTCAACACACAGATCTTTAAAGATTTGTGAGACTTGAGCGATGACTAAAGTTGGGCTAGAGCATAATTGTTTATTTATTACCATGATGAAGTACTCTAAATTTGTATTATTTCTTGGGTTTCAGATCTCATTGATTAATTTGTTTTGCGAACAAGTGCCGATTGAAACACTGAAGTTTTATACTCCTCTACAAGTCATAGCTTCTTTTTATATTACACCAAGCTTCATCTTGTTATGCCATGGGATGTATTCAGTTATTAGATTCCTGTTAGTCAAAAAACTTATATCTTTAAATGTTCATATAATGTAACTAGAAAAATGCTTATTTTTGGCCCCTTTTTGGCCCCTTATTCCTAAACGTTTTGGGCAATTACACCCAAACTAAATTCCAGCTTTCCCTTTGTGATATGGAACCTTGTAGTATAATTTCATAAAGATCCATACACTTACACACAAGTTATTGTCATGAAACTAGAAAAATGCTTGTTTTTTGCCCCTTTTTTGGCCTCTAATTCCTAAAATTTGGAGGCAATTACCCCCAAAATCAATCCCAGCATTCCCTTTGTGATATGGAACCTTGTGGTACAATGTCAGAGAGATCCATACACTAACACACAAGTTATGTCTGGAAGTTACATTTTGGCCCCTTATTCCTTAACTGTTGGTACCATAACCCCCAAAATCAATCCCCACCTTCCTTTTGTGGTATTGAACCTTATGGTAAAATTTCATAGAGATCCATTCACTTAAACTAAAGTTAGAGTGCGAAAACCAATGTGTCTTCGGACGACGACGACGATGCCGGACGACGCAGGACGACGACGCCAATGTCATACCAATATACGACCACAAAATTTTTTTGCGGTCGTATAAAAATAAGGAGATGTGGTATGATTACCAATGAGACAACTATCTACCAAAGTTCAAATGAAGTGGATGTAAGCAATTATAGGCAACTGTACAGCCTTCAGCAATAAGAAAACTCCATACCGTATGCACATATATGAAATTTTCATCTCATTTTTCTTAGCAAATACAAGTCATATATTCTTGATATATGACACAAAACAGTGTTATAAGTAATAAACAATAGCTTACAATATATTTTGTTTAGTTTATTTTTGTATGAAGGGAGATAAAAACCATATAGAAGATTGTACGTTGGATTGGAATTCATAAGACAACTGTCTCATTAAATATTAGCAATGTTCTCATAAAATATGTAGTGCTTTTATTGCTGTTTTTCATTTTGACAATTGTTTAAAGATAAATGGATAGAAAATCAACCTACAACTTACATTAAAATATACTGTCAATTCATTATTATTCATTGGATACTAATGTTGTAATGTATGTGAATCACAAATTTATTTCAGCCAAATTCAAATAAGACTTTTTAAAAATCATGAAGTTAAGTACCTATGGAAATGCAATTTTTCATCAACCATGAATAATTTAATCAACAGTAGACAGTTATGAGTGTCATGGGTTCTCAATGTAGAAGACTATTTTTTGCAAATATATATTTATTTATTCAACATTAAACAATCTATTTCATGTTTGCATTTCAGAAATTAAAAGTAGAGAAGAAAGGTCTAGAGAATTTTTTGATACAAATATAGGTCCAAGCTCAGGGTCATTTATGGAGGAAATAGAACCTTTTGAAGATGTATTTGACAAGGTAATGGAGGGAAGCTACCTATGTTAATCATTCAGAGTTGTGTTTCTGTTAATTCTGTTAAAATTAAAAAATAGATACAGAAAAGATAAATTAAGTCTTATTTTAGAATTCAAAAACATTAATTTGTGAAATACGAGTTTTATTGCGAATATTGCAGTAAAATGTTCTGAGACATATAAAGTTAATGTTCTATTTAATGGTCATCCATTTGTGCCCTGCATTTTATAAACAAACCAAGCGAATTATTTTCATAAAAATTCATAAGGGTTCCGCGGTACCCAGTGTCTCGCCTACTTTTGCTGTTAATCGCAGGCTCAACAAAAATTGAGGAAAAAAATTAATAAAAATTTTCCTCTCTATAATATCTTTTGATTGTAAGTAGCTTCTGTCCAAGTTTGGTAAAAATCCAGGATAGTTTATGAATCTAATAAATGTTTTAAAAACTTAAACTGCAGACTGTATGTAATGTTAACTGGAAGAAAAACTAAGTCCATTTATAAGTAAAATACGGAAAAAATGGAACAAATTTTAACAAAATTTCCTTCTAGATACTAGCTTTTAATCATAAACAAGCTTCTGCCCAAGTTGGGTACAAATCCAGGATAGTTTAAGAAAGTTGTTAACATTTTAAAAACTTTAACCACAGAGTGAATGTACTGTTAACTGGCAGAAAAACTTACGTCCATTTATAAGTAAAATACGGAAAAAATGGAATTTTTTTTTTACAAAATTTACTTTTGAATATTATCTTATGATCATAAACAAGCTTCTGTCCAAGTTTGGTAGAAATTCAGGATAGTTTAAGAAAGTTATTAAAATTTCAAAAACTTTAACCACAGAGTGAATATTTGTGGACGCCGCCGCCGGAATGTAGGATCGCTATGTCTCGCTTTTTCGACAAAAGTCGAAGGCTTGACAAAAATTAAGAGAATTCTGAGTATTTGCATTATTTTTGTGATGAGTGATATATAGATTTCTTTGTGTCATTCCCTTTAGAAGTTTTTCACCACTTTCACTTAATTTATTTTAAGCAAGAAACATTTATAAACATGATGTCGTAAAATTGGTTATACACTTATATACTCTTTGGTTGTCATGACAACAGTTAACTATTATCACAAGGACATCTTCAAAAATACTGAATCTAGTTGAATGATAAAAGCTTCATTTTTTTATTGAAGGGTTTTACATCATCACAACTACATATGGTTGAAGATAATACTGTACATGTAAAACAAAGAGAGAAAGAAATAGCACAGATAGTACAGTCTATAACAGATCTGAATGAAATATTTAAAGATTTAGCTACTATGGTTGTAGATCAGGTTAGTGTACTAAGTTTAAGTAGCTAGAATATAATTACTTGTCAGAATGGTGGATGCAACTAGTCATTTTATGTTGCATATGTAGCATAGGAGATGATATATAGTGATTACTACTTGTGGCATTGCATGGATGGCAAACTTACCTGTTATTCATAACTTCTTTGAAAGCAGTGGGTCAATTACAAAACAAATAGAATCTTGAGAACATGATATAGTCACTTTTATTTGTTTTATTTCAATTCAGAATGAAATTTTAAATTTGCCAGACAGATATCCAAAATTTTAATATGCAGGCACAGGAACACAGGAGGATACATCTTCTATAACTATGTTTGGTCCAAAGTTTGTGCATTTGTAAACTTGAGCTACTTTGAACAACTCAATAATTGGAATACTATTTAATTGCTGGGAGTGACTTCAGCATTTTAGTTTTGAATTCAACTAAATTTCTTTTTTCGAGTATCTGCAATTATTGATCAGGTGCAATGTTAAACATATATACAAATGTTAAGTGAGGTGTGCAAGACAAATATTTCTGTAATGAATCTTTTGAGTCTAGAGGTTTTTAAGTCCAAACAAAATAGAAAACAAAATATTCTCATGGGAGATACTCTTCAATATTGGTCATTTAGAAATAAAGTCCAAATTAATGCAGATTATGTTAGATAGTTATTGATTCAAAGGGGAGATAATTTATAATTATATGTACTTTGGTTCACGTTTATGTTTGTTAGTTTTACAAAGTTATTAAATTTATATATAAATAACTTTATAATTATGAATTAATAAAGATGTGGGTTAAATATCAATGACACAGTAACCCAATGACACAAATGACCAAAAGTTATCCAAGATTATGCTGGTCAATTACAGAGTTCTCTATAAGTGGTGGTCTGAAGGTTTTGACCACCAAAATTTGGCAAAGGACTGACACCAATTTGGTATTTTGCAATATAAATAATAGTTAGGAGCAGCAAATTTTCTTCAAGGACCACCAGGGAAAAAAAGATTTTGAGAACTCTGCCATAATTTGTTTCAAACTCCAAAAGAAAAAAAAACTGTCAATATTTGTGATATTACAATTGCACATCTTAAACTTTTATGAATTTAATAATGGACAACTGTTTATGTTTGTAAAGGACTTAAAGGATGTATGCTTCTAAATTTATGACCTTTTCAAGTGCCAAAAGTAATATTAACTAGTTGGTAATTATTAAGATTGTAGGTCATAAGACCAATTGCAATCCATATATCAAAGGGACACAATTAATTTGTTTTTTATAGCAATCAATGTCACTTTAATTACAGCATTGTTGGAAATTTTCACACATACTGTAAATGAAATATTTTATACCACGATTCAGGATCTCAAGGGTAAATTAAAATCATAAACAAAATAAAGATGGTGTTAGTGGCTCAATAAAAGATTATATATTTGAAATAGTTACTTTTTCTTGAAACACAAAAAGTACATTTACATTTCCTTGAAACACAAAAAGTACATTTACATTTCCTTAAAACACAAAAAGTACATTTACATTTCCTTAAAACACAAAAAGTACATTATACATTTCCTTAATACTTGTTCATATCAGTACCAAAGTAATTATTGTAATTTTTCAGGGAACAATATTAGATAGAATAGACTATAATGTAGAAAATGCCAGTGTACAAGTAGATAAGGGACTACAACAATTACAGAAAGCTGAAAAATATCAAAAGAAAAATAGAAAAATGTTATGTATTGTTATATTAGCAGCTGTTATTATATTATTATTGATTATATTGATAGCTGTCAAAAGATAGCATAAGTTGTCATTTAGAGATTTTAATTAGTTTAATAAAAAAAAGGCTGTGATTAACTTAAAGTTTAAAATGGACTTAAGGAAACATGGGATTGTGCCATTTACTATGCATTCTGTTGGAGCAGAACGTTAGGTTTTACCTCAATTATACTTAATGTCATGTATGATTTTTAAGATATCTTCAATGGTTTCTCTTCAAGCTAGATGTTAAAGGTTGAAGTTTCCTTACATTTATATATAGATGTGTATAGAAGAGTCTGTCAGAGAGTCATCAAAGTTAAAATTTTGAATAATCTAGATAATTAGTATTTTTTAAGTTTATTGAACAATTTACAATAAGACACAGTTGTCTCCATGACTTTATGATGGTGAAACTCTTATCGTTTTCTAACTTTCCGCCATTATCAAATTATCTCATCAATGGTTAAGTTTGCCAGTTGCCAATGTTAGGCAAATTTGATTTTGTGTCATTAGTTGCCTCTATTTTTGTTTTGTCAACTATGGTTCATCTAATTGCAAAACCCCTATTGTTAATCAACAATGCCCTCCAAGTTACTATTTTATCGACCCTAGGGGCTGTCATGCTAATGACAGCTCATCACTTTTTCCTGTTTTCACACCTGTCAGGAGAATATATTGATCAAGTTTGCATGATGACTTCATTATTTAATTTTATTTATTTTGCAGCAAAAGCTATCCACATTTTGAATTTAAAATTACGCAAGTAAAGGGATTTTAAAGTGGTTTTATGATATTTTGTGTCTATGACATTTTATCTGTAGATTATATTATTATTCACTGTGCAATAACTAGTTACTGTGTTCACCACTGTGTATTGTCAATTCATATATTTCTGTGTGCATTTATTATTGCAACTGTTGAACTATGTACAAAAATATGAGAGTTTAGGAAAGACTACATACAAATGATGATATCAAAATTTAGAATGAAAGTTAACTTTACAGTAAGTTAGTAATGTTGTCAATCTAGACATCGAGAGGCCGATGCATAACTTTCAACAATGGACAATAGTCCATACCAGATAACAAGCCCTTAATAGTGCCTCATTTGGTGGTCTTGTGGTAGTGTGTTTGCCTCAAGGCGGGAGGTTGTGGGTTCAAACCCCAACTGGGTCAAACCACAGACTTTAAATTTGGTATTTGTTGCTTTTCTGCTAAGCATGCAACATTAAGGAGTAAGAGAAAAGACTTGTAGGCTTGTCCTGAATATTCATTAAATTTGCCGCTGGATGTTCAACATCCATCATTATCGGCATCTTATAATTAATAGCCAAGAATCTAGACAAATATAGATTTTCGTTAGATTAAGGTGGTACATAACACTACAGGAAGATAACTCTGTAAAAATCAGCTGAACGTTTTAATCACGTTCTATTGTTAAGGAAATATTAAGCTTCTCAATGATCAAAGTTAGTGTTTGTCAAACTGCTATATATCCAATGAAATTTTTCTGATAAAGTGTGTGGTTCAAGTTTTTTGAAATTGTTATATTTTTGTCAAAGGGTCAAAGGAAATATATTGTCAAAATTTTATGAATTAAAATATTAAACGAATCAAATTAATTTTAATCAAGGTGTTTGGTACCACCTTAACAAAGTTAAAACATAAAAGTTATACCTTTGACTGATACATAATTTGTTGATTATTGATTAGGGTTGATGCAATAAATACTGTTAATGACAGCATACACTTGACGACAACTTTGGTTAAATCTGTAAAACATGTCCTTTAAAAACAAGGGGGGGGGGGGGGGATAATTGAGCATTTTTCCGGAAATTTTAACAAAGGTAGAAAATATTAAAACAAACATGTATTCAAGGGAAATGCTAGAGGTTGTAATAATATACTGTTATTTGATTACATTGTATTTGAACATTCACTTTTTTTTTTAAATATTCCATCTTAGAGGGTTTTTGTTATGAAATGTTTTAGGAAAATAGTGGTTATGATGTGGACTGTTACATTATATATATGTAACTCGTGTTATTTTGAAAAATCTTTTTCAAGTCTTATCTTTCATGTGAAATATCAGTAAAATTTGTTGAAAATCAAAGTCTACCAAATTGAAATACGTGATGAAATTCATGATAACATATGAGGTTAATGCCATATCTTGAAAGGTTGGCTCCATATTTGTGGCATTTCGTTTCAGAAAAAAATCTTTAATTTAAATTTGCTATCATCGAAATATAATAGTTCATTCTTTTAGAAAATTCACAATTTAGAATCTGTCAGTTTTCAGTATTTATCAATATTTTAAATGTGTTATATATAAAGTAAAATATAAAAAATAAGGAGATGATTTCAGTATTATTTATATTGATTTTCTGTGCAGTCTGTATGATATTGACTAGAGGAAAGATGTTTTACATAATATGTGTATGTTTAGTTTTTGTTCAATATGTAAAAAGTGAAAAAGTAAGCGGATAGTTACAAAGTTTGTATTGAAAACACTTTTTAAGTATTGTTTATTTCACCATTCCTGTAAGAAATATACACATTCCAAAATAGTCTAGTCAATACTGTCATTATATTAAATGTTGTCATATTGTACAACATTATACATGTAATATGATGTAAAACATGTTGGGATATATATATTACATTAAAACTATGTTGAATAGAAACAAAGTGACATTTCACTGTGATCAAAATTTGTATTTAAAAAAATTTTGAATTGCGTTTCAAAAATTCATTTTTAAATATGAAGACAAGTAGGGGCAGAACAATCAGAATTTTTATAAATGGATGCACATATATCTATTGACTAAATTGCTGTCAAATAAGGTTTAAACAAATAAAATAAAGAGTTCTGGTTTTCGCTGTGTTTAATACATAACAAGGATGAAAAAATGCACAACCTATCTCTTTTGGCATCATGTCAATTCATTATGGAAAACATTCTAATTTTTGTTTAGAAAACTGTAACAATATTATATTAATATATTTCCGTGAAATTTTTAGCTTCTTTGTAAAACCATATCTGTTTTGTTTGTTTGTTCAGCACAGTTCATGATTCGTGTAACTCATTATTGGCAACAAAAAATTGCATTCAATGTAACTACTGTTACAATTTCACAAAATAGTGGTAAAACTTATACTTACATGTGTGTATTATATATACTTTTGTTATGTATACATATCCTGTGTTGTTTAGTGAAATGGTATCTATATAAAAGTAAGGAGATGTGGTATGATTGCCAAATGAGACAATTATCCACCAAAGTTCAAATGAAGTTGATGTAAGCGATTATAGGCAACTGTACAGCCTTGACAATGAGAAAAAACCCATGCCGTAAAGTCAGCTATAAAGGGCCCAACATAAAAAATATATAACAATTCAATTGAGAAAAATATTGACCTAATTTAACAAAACCATTTGTTAAAAAACAAATATGACAGACATGAACCAACGACAACCACTGAACTTCAAGCTCCTGACTTGTTACAGCTGATGTAAAGACCTTATCACTATTTGTCAATCTGTGACACTTGACCTGAGAATTTGCATCATTTGAATTATTGAAGCCATACAACAACCATGTTTCTTTTGGGGTGTCAGACGTATTCTCTTGTGAGTCCAGATTTTATAGGAACATTCTTGAGGTCCAGTAATGGCAGACAAATAGCGATAAGATGTATTGATCTGATGAAGTATTCTTAAATTGTGCAGCAGTATTTTATTTTATGAAAATATAGTAGGGGATGTTGAAAAAAGAGTAAAATTGACAATATCTTATAAATTGAGCATTTTTAAACAAGCATTTTCCTTGTCCAATTAATGATACAAAACATTTACATGTCTACTAAATTACATAAAACTATATAGACATGATAGAGGTAAGTAGAGCCATTATAAGTAATAATGTAAGTTTATGAAATATACGGTAATATATTTTTACTGCTGTGAAAACCTTATGTTAAGATTTTAAAGTCTTTGTTTTCGTAATAGTGGATTATGTGTGACTCTTATCCAGATTGTTGACACAAAGGCTATATATTTACATTTATTATTATCGTTACAATATAAACAACTGATCTCCACTGGAACAGATCATCCCAACCTATCAAAATTATAGAAGGGATCAAGACTAACTACGGTCAATGACAAATAAGAGTAACTCCTATCTGATAGATGCAGGTTCAGCAATCTGATTTTCTCCATACAACAGATTGCCATTAAATTGAAGACTGTCAATCGGACAATCAAACCATATGTACATATATCAAAACCACAGCAAAATGTTTTTTTCTCCTTTTAAGCACTGTTGAAATCCAAATTTGTCATTGCATTTGGAGTTGTTAATCAAAACAGTACTGCCACTCAGTACAAATTTAAACTGTAAAGGTTTTGTACATCTTAAATTTTTAAACTACCTATTTAAATGAATTTTTAATGGGAAGAATTTCTTTTTTGGTTTAATACAAGTTTTTTTGTAAAGATTTGAATGGGTATAGATTGCCCCATCAATTGTGGATGAATTGGTCTGATTTGTATGGAGTAACCACACACATGTCTCTAAATAAAACAAATATTTGTACGAGGCTCAGAAAAAGGTAGAAATGTAAGGCTTGCTAAGCATTCTATCCTGGTTCTAGCGGAGCACAAAACAATTTTATTTTAGAGATAATGTTGGTTATTCCTTTAACTGCAACATTCATAACTAAATCTTTTTGGTGAAAATTGTGAATTTTGGACATGAAGCCGCAATCTAAAGAATTCCTCAAGCCTGTATTCTTTCATAAAGTCATTAAAAAAATCAATATAGAAACATAATGTTCATGTCATAAACAATGCTTATACGGTCAGTAACTGTTTTTTAAAAATATTTATATTTGACTGTGCAAATAGCATGGTTACAATATAAATGACTATATTATGTCTATATCATATAAGAAATAAGTAATACTTAAATATTTTAAATATAAGTTATCAATTAAAATTGAAATAAAGCAAATTATTTTGTTAACAAAAAATGTCTTGTTTTGTGTTATATTTTAGCATAAATGATATGAAACCTATAGAGTGATCTTTGAATCCCTAATTTAGATTTAAAGAGCGAAAAAATATCTGTTGGCGTATACAGAGTGATGAATAATTCGGCGTTTCAGAATCTAATGCATTCTGGGTAGTATTTTCCAAAGTGTACATCAAAATCTTGTGATTGGTTAAAAACCTCCTTAACAATTGACAGTCAACCAATGATGTACCGTTATTAACATTATGTTCATATATTGACATGCAGATTCAGTGAAAATAACACTTCAAAGTACTGTCTTTTCAATAGGGTTTAAAAGACCCCTAACAAGTTTTACCTGCATTGTTAATTTTAGTGTTGCAGCAGCCAGCAGCTAACAAAAAGTAACACAAACCTGCACATTTTAAGGTTGAATATGAATAAAAGGAGATATGTGGTATATGCCAGGGAGACAGCTATCCAAAAACCATACCTTTCAGCTGTATTAGTAGAAAGAGAGAAAAATAATGATTGATTGTGCAATTCTTGTATATTGAAAAGATGTTTGTTTGTTTGCAAAAGAGGTGTGATAAATACTACTTTTTTAGCCTATAGAACAAAATAATAACACAACCTTAGTTAAAAATCTATTAATAAACAACCTTCACAAGACACTAATCAACAAAGATAAATATTTCTTCACTTAGCCATCAGACTTAGCATAGTCTAGGAAAACTATCAAAATATTCTGGTGACATCACTTTAAAATCAAGACACGAGCAACAGCTATTTTGCTAAACCCATTCACCCCCCCCCCCCCCCCCACAATCATGTTACAGCTATTCCTTTATATCCCATATGACCCTCCTTACTTTTTTTGAAAACTCCCAGCTGAACTGTGTTGGCAGCAGGAACTACAATCTTGCAATGCATAGTCCATAAATTCTTTCCAGATGTGTTGTTATGAAAATATGACAACCCTAATGCCCTTCTTGCGATATAAAAATGGGGAAAATGTCAAAAGTAGCCAAAATCAGGTTGGATAGAGAGTCATTTGGTGGCCACTTCATTAATGTATAGGCCGTAGGTATTTAATTGTATCCTAAATGCATCAATATATAGTTCAGAAACACAGGGAGGTATTATATGTCCAGAACAATTCAGGTCTGTAAAAACAGTATACTGTTTTGTCAGAATTATGTAAATACAGACATTTTGTCAGACCTGGATTGCCATAATGTTAACTCAGCAAGACAAGTCGCATTTACTTCCAGTGAACATGGATGGGATGCTGTTACTTTAAGGTAACAATTGAATGACAAAGAAACACTTTTGTCCTAGCTCACCTCTAAAGGTCGTATTAAAATCGAAAAATAGACTGAAAATGACAATTAATTTATTCAGCAGGGTTTGGGTTTCCAACCAACCTGCCTAGCCACCCAAACCCAGATCACCCATACAGTTTTATAATTCAGCATCAGTTAAATTATCAAGAATCAATTTATTTGCATATAATTTTCATGTTTTTGCAAAGGAGAAGGTCTGATTGGGCCACTTTATTTTAATTTGAAAATCAAAAAAGTATTATAAATCTACCAAGTAAATGTGATTTCACATTTCGACATGTCAAGGAAATGTTATATTACAGTATGACATGTCAAGGAAATGTAATATTACAGTATGACATGTCAAGGAATGTAATATTACAGTATTACATGTCAAGGAAACGTCATTTCACATTATGACATGTCCAGGAAATGTAATACCTGGCACAAAATGACATAGCAACAATTTACGGACAATTAGATAAATAGGTCAAAATACTTTGGACGAATTGGAATTATAATTAAACAAACATAAAAAATATTTTTTTAAACTGATTCAAAGGCATGTGACCAAAGTAGTAAATGTTCTTGAGATACAGATATGGAGTAGTGATGTCATATGGCCACGGTCTTATCAGTGTGCAGAATGATTTAGATTACTAGTACTGCGTGTATACGTTTGAAATGTATTCTTTAGTCCTGTTCATAATTGTGGGTAAGTACTTTATTTTCTAGATTAAAATTAATAATGAGTTGTCTCGACGGCGACGACTTTCCCTGAAAGCGATGTAGGTTTTGGTATGCTGCTTCTTGTGCAAAACATATTTGAGAAGATCAAAGAAAAGAAGTAGAAATCCGTGTTCTAGTTCATAGAAGAATCATGGTAGGAAGGATTTTAGGCATAGGGTATATATCAGGTTTTTACATTTTTTATCTCTTTTTCTGCTGAATGAATCCCATATTTCTTTTGGTAGATTTGCATTTACCATACAAATAATAGGTCAACTATGTTAGGTTGTACGGTTTACATACTCGTCTAACAATTAACCGCTAACCTTGACCTCATTTTCATGGTGTTCAGTTTTAGGAGATTTGAGTTTTCTATAATTGAAAAAAAAACACCTATTATTCTGGTTTCAGTGCATATGCTTCTTAAAGAACTATGTACGCTCAGAGCAAACAGTTTAGAAAGACAAAATATTAAAAGTTTGACAGCAGAAAACAAAATGGTTTAAAAAGAACAAATCAAATAGTATAAAGTTCACTTTGACTGAGGGCGTCTCAACCTTACATTATTATATGAACTGGAAATATACAAACAAGATTAAGATGAATCATTCAAATCACGACGCTACGGAACAGTTGGTTACTGAGCGAATTGTTTCGGAATAACCATCATCAGGTACCGTGGACAGAAAAAAAAATGGAAAGCCAAAATATTTGGTTTTCTCGTTTGAATTGATTTACTTTTTGTCTCAGTTTATGAGTTACTGTATTCAATTCAATTCAAAGTTTGATTTAAAGTCGATATTCAATAAACACAAGCTGGTGAGCTTTTCAAATCGACTGAATAGCAAAATATATACACACAAATACAAAAGTCATGAAATCAACACAATTTAAACATACAGTACATGGTAGGATACCAGAGATGAGCATATTCTGCTAAATAAAGAATATCTTAAAAAATAGCATACGTTAGAATGATAAGCACAACAGATTATAGCCACTAAAAAAGCTAAACAAATCAAACAGTCAAACAAAATTAAAAATTATAAAAGCACTATATGCATGCACTGCATTGGCATGAGCTGTTATTTGGATCCCATGTTTGTACCAATTTTTTGAATTGGTCAAAAGATGTTTCCATTCGACAATGGTTAGGCAGCTCATTCCAGATTTGTGCAGCATTATAGCGAAACGATCTCAAACCATACCTGTTAGTTCTGACTCTCGGGAGTACTGTACGGTATGAGTTTTGGTTATTGTTGAAGGCCGCACGTTGATCTATAGTTGCTTTCACCCACGTCATTTGTTCTCTGGTGGAGAGTTGTCTAATCAATCATACCAATCTCTTATTTAAATAATATGTACGAATTTTCAAGTTGATATGACTTCAACTTCGTGGTAAACTACCTTCACCAAAATCTTTTACCTGACAAGGAACGGACGAACAGGTGGGAGTACAAACAAAACATAATTATGTCCTCCCTATATATAGCTAACTATCGTAGGCGGAGCATAAAAATAAAATATTTTTTTTCAAAATTTACTATAGATATTGCATTCACCTCGTGTTCGTTCTAATCTTACTGGACATGCTGTAGAATTCAACACTGAATTCAGATTGTCTGTATATTTATTTCCAGGGTATGTAAGTGGAGCTACTTCACAATCGTGTCATCAAGGATGGACATACTTTCAAAAGTCTTGCTACTATTTTAGCGACATTACGATAGACTGGATAAACGCGGGAGTATGTTGTTTAGAAATATATCCATTGTTGAAAAGCTTTGTTTGAAGTTAACCAATCACTTACGGATTTGTTTCAAAATGCAAACGGCATATTCGTTATTAAAACATACGAAAGATTTCCAAGGCGATGAACTTATTAGATTTAACAAAAATTCAGTAAGATTCCTCTCATAGCCAACCATTCCATTTCTGAAATTCTCTGCTGAGTGATGAATTTAGAAATTTTTAGGAAATTAGGGTTCCAACTCTCTCAGGCAAAGCTGACCTTATATGGGTTTGGTGATTCTCCTTATATCCCATTTAGTCATATAGCTCCTGACGTGTACAATTACGATGCATACATATATATATATATATATATGCTTTCAAATTTGAGAGTTTGAGTTTTCCTGGGTGAAGGTAAATTCAAAAGAACGCGTTGTACTTACTAATTTTATACAGTGTTATTTTCATGTTTACACATCATATACTCATTTGTTAATTAATGCCTTTTGTTATTTTTGTGTCGAGGTGTTGCTATTTCACTGATATATACAATTAACCATATTTTTGGTATATTAAATAGTCCAGAATAACACTACTAATTAGAAATAACAATTAAGTGTTAAGGTCAGATACCGTAAAGAATCAACAAATATAACAAAAACTATTATTATAACAACATAAGGTATTTTCCATGCAACTCGAAAATTATAGAAACTTCTCAATAAGAATACGCTATCGTGCCGTTGATATTTCAAATAAATGTGTGAACTTTATTTTCAGGCTTTTTGTCAGGTTCATCATTCTGAACTTTCTGCAATAGAAACGCAAGCTGAGAACGCATACATAGAGAGTGAAGTGAAAAACAGAACAGGTATACAGTGTATGATTAGCTATAAATCTTAGCGAGTCAAAACAATCCATAACGATGAACTATACCACTATATAACAAGAATGTGTCCATAGTACACGGATGCCCCACTCGCACTATTATTTTCTATGTTCAGTGGACCGTGAAATTGGGGGTCAAAAAACTAATTTGGCATTAAAATTAGAAAGATCATATCATAGGGAACATGTGTACTAAGTTTCTTGTTGATTGGACTTCAACTTCATCAAAAACTACCGTGACCAAAAACTTTAACCTAAAGCGGGACAGACGGACGAACGAACGGACGGACGAACGGACGCACAGACCGAACAATACCCCTAGGTGGGGCATACAAATAAGATGC